GATGAATAGATGAATGGAAGGATGTATGGGATGGATGGATGAATGGATGTACATTTGGATAGATAGATGGATGAATAGATGAATGGAAGGATGTATGGATGGATGGATGGATGGATGTACATTTGGATGGATAGATGGATGAATAGATGAATGGAAGGATGTATGGGATGGATGGATGAATGGATGTACATTTGGATAGATAGATGGATGAATAGATGAATGGAAGGATGTATGGATGGATGGTTGGATAGATGTACATTTGGATAGATAGATGGATGAATAGATGAATGGAAGGATGTATGGATGGATGGTTGGATGGATTGAACTTTTTGAGTTGAAACAAAAAGTTGCTGCTACTGTACTGTAGCACCGATAACAACAGCATGTCATGTGAATGAAAACAGGAAACAGAATGACAGAAGCAAAGAAAACTGGTGTCGAAAGAGTGAAAGAAGCAGTAGCGTTCCCACCTGCCAGGCCGCAGTCTTCCGCGGAGCCAATGGAGTAGTTAGCGGGGCTGAAGGCGGAGCCGGGGGCGGGGCTGAGGGCGGGGCTGAGGGGAGGGCTGGCGCTGAAGCTGGCATAGCCCAGCGAAGAGCTCACTTCCGACGGGTCGTAGCTGTGGTTGGGCCGCTGCGTCTCCTGGGTCGAGGACAGGGACATGCGCTGCTTCGGCTGGGGAAAACAGGAGGGGGACAGAGACATGAATGGGGGGGGGGGCTTTTGCTTACTGCGGGAGTAGCTGCCACCGCTGTGGGGCTTTCGCTGCATTTTTCACTTCGTATTAAAGCATCGCACCTCATTAGCTGAAGATGGCTGTGTGGGTTCCTGCCCTGTGGCAAGGAGGCGACGGCATGTGTGTGTGTGTGTGTGCATGCGAGTGTGTGTGTGTTTGCGTGTGTGTGTGAATGTGTATGTGTATGCGAATGTGTGTGTGTGTGTGTGTGGGTATAACAGGGCAGCAATCCGCACACCCATGTCGCCGGGGTAACCCCTTCCCCAGGGATGCCGCAGTGTAGGAGACGACCCCACCCCCCCCATCTGAGAGATCCGTTCCGCTCCCCGGATGTGCTGTTCCAGCAAATGGGGGCAGAGGCTCACGAAAGGCGCTTGTGTAACAGCAGGAAGGGCTTATATAAGGATCCTTTCAACTTCCTGTTGCATCACCAGCTTGCAGATGTCATGCTAATTAGCGCATGCGCCACCCTGGCCGACAGCTGGGCCTCCGGACGACTCCGTCTGCGCAGAATGCCCAGACTGCGGCACGGCTGGGTCCCGTCTGCGCAGGGCGGTGGCTTGATTGCATCTCATCTCACATGGCAGTGTGCCTAGATGGCGCCACACCGCAAGCGACAGGGCGGACATCAAAGACTACCTCTCTCCGCTCCCCACAAGTGCAGATGATTACCCCCTACAGGGAGATATGTCTCAGATGATCGCCCCCTGCTGGTATACCCCCTGTACAGCCTGGGGGGAAAGTGAGCAGGTGCTGCAACACAGCTTTTATCCATTTATCCAGCATCAGCCCCCACACCATAGGCTTCAGCCCTCAAGAAAACATTGAACCTCACCCCCTATGGCCGCTGCAGACTAGCAGCCACCTGGTGCTGCTGGATGCATCGCAGTGTCGATCGCATATGGCCGCCCTGCATGTCTGCATATCCCGCAGCCGGTGCTTGCTGCGTAAAGAGCACCGAGGTGCCACACGTGCAGCATTCTCTCAAGGCTGAAGGTCGTCCTTTGCTGTGCGGCTTGAGGTCACCACGCCCACTGGGAGTGAGATCCTGCGCATGAAATCGCAGCTGGCACAGAAAACGACAGAGATGCGGAGCTGGCTTGCTTCCTGCCGACACCAAAGCACCCACTCCCCCAGTTCCAGAGAGATTCCCACAAGTGCCAGTGGCCAACCACTAATAACCAAAGCCTCCCCTTCCAGACTGGGCAAATTTCGTACACAGAGGAGGAATGTGATAGGTGGAGGGCAGGAATCCTGCTAATCGCCTATGGACTCACCAGAAGCCCTGTCGGCTAAATGAGGGGCGTGTTCAGATATTACATTGGGGCCGCCCACTTCGGTCACTGATTGGCTCCCGCAAAGCCTGGGGGCGGTGCCAGTAGGAGGCAATGTGGCACTCTGTTGAGGAGACGGAGTGTATCCCATACGCTGGCCACTGTACCATGCCTTGCCCCCAAACTGGTACCCTGATGCCCTGGGGTGTGGCCATCTGAATCCCTACAGCCTCCCGTCTTATCCGGCATTCCCAGGCTGTCTTTGAAACATCCCGCTCTCCAAGAAGCGCTGACCTGAGACGGGAGTCAGAAAACCGCACAGCTCACCATGCCAGACAAAACGGCATATCCATTATGGAGGCTCTGGGAAAGTGTTCAATTCACAAGCGTCAATTTGCACCTCTCTCACTCTCCACACCTCCCTCTCTCTCGGTCTCTCTCTTGTTTTCCCAAGATGATGAGTGATGTTATGATGGGAGAAGGGGTGGGGCAGGTATGGTGTGAAAGACCACTTTTTTCGTGCTGACCACTGAGTGTCATGAACATGGAGAAGGGGCGGGGCATCCGGAGATAAACTAGCCAATAGGCACCATGTTACTGCAATCCGCAATGCTCATACATGTACTGTATCTTTGTGTGAATGCATTTGCATCTCTGCTTATGTATCCTTAACTGTGCTGTGCTTTGAGTCAATAAAGCAGAAGTTGCCATTCTATATACCGGTACTGTGAGCTTTCTCCAGGTACGATATACTCACCTCTACTGTAAGAAGAAATATTGATCATCAATAATGTTTAAAGGGCATTACTGCAAAAAAGTGTGGCAGTGAAAATCTAAGCTGTACCTTCTAACTTAAAATACTGCAACAAAAACTGCATAAACATAGAAACGTTACACTATCATCACGGTTAGAAAACCAGACCCCAAGATGACCAGACCTGCCCCTAACAAAATGCAACTGTCCACAAGGTTTGGTTAACTGCCACAACATTTGGAACTTTTCATCCAGTGCTGGGTCACCCAGTGCCTATCGCAGGCAGCTTAGGGAACAAAGCAGGGAAACATCCTGGTTGCCTGCTTCTTGATCCCACAGCAAGGCACATATAACCTTGGGTCAATCTTGGTACCAAGAACGCAAAGCAATACTCATGGTCTTGGCAAAACCAGTCTTGCTAACTGGCCTTCCAAGAATGAACTTGGGGCAATAGTGAATCAGGAGATTGGTCTCATTTGATGAGGATGCAACTGATCTATCCTTGAAATTTGGGGCAGAGCAAGACCAACATCTGGGGATTTTTACCCTCCTCTGTACTTCTGTTCTTGAGTATTGGACCTGGTCTTCGGCAACGGAAGATGGCACAAAACGGGTACATGAGAGCACAATCAAGTACGCATACTGAGACTCAGCCCTTGTATTTATAATAGTGTAGAAGCACCAGTTGGGGTTAGGGTCAGGATCCCCAGAGTTAGGGCTAACCCTGCGATGAGTTGGGACAGGCCAGGCCAGCCTTATCCTCAAACCCTGAAATGCACTATGTCAGGCAGATAGGCCATTTTGTCATGCTGTCACACAGCACAGCTGAGCTCCCCCCCCCCAGCCAGTCCACTCAGTGAGGGGAATCTCAAAAAAATTACCTCTGAAAAATGTAATATATACCACAAACATAATTAACCCCCCGGTTCACCTGTGAGTCAGTCTGTCTGTCTGTCTGTCTATCTGTCTCTCTCTCTCTCTCTCACTCTCTCTTCCCCCCTTCTCAGAGTGCCAGGTCGGCATGCCAATTTACACCTCGTTAACATGGATAACACACCAAATCTGTTTGTGAGCATGTTTACGATCAATTCATTAGTTAAGTACGATATTATAATGTGTAAAGAATCTGGTGATAATTCTCAGATTCATAATGGTAGTAATTAGCTCCCCCCCATTTGACAAAGTCTCTTTTTTCACGCATGATGAAGCATCTCTTACGAGCATCTAAAAGCACAAATGGCTCCATGGAAACACTCATGCCTTTTTCGTTGTCTCATTAAGGGTCTGCTTTTTCCCTCTTTCTCAGCGCGCTCTCGGCGACATCCCATCTTCAATACACTTTTGTTCAGCTAATTTCAAATCTTGTTGCTGTGGCAACGCACCACACAAAGTGGAGCCCACACACAGAGAGGCAATAACAGCAACATATAGAGCGGTCCTCCCACTGAGAGGCAGGCTGCAGAACAGGCGGAGAAATTTAAATGGCATGTGCGCAGCAGTGACGGGAGATGCTCTGACATCAGAGGAGGAGACGCACGGCAGAGACCCTCAGGCCTTCAGCAATCGGGACCCAAGCAACTCACACGTGAAGTCTGAGTGCAGCGATGATGAGACGTGGCTCTGAGCGGGAATGTGAGATCTGAGATACAGATAGGGTACAGACCTGATCTGAAAGATGCTGATGGGATGACTGAACCTAGAGCCTAAAGGGGGAGGGAGATGAAGCTTCTACATACAGATATACTGAAGCTGAAAGAAAGGGAATGACGGAGATGAGACAGAATGAGATATGGAAGCTGAAAGACAGGGAATGATGAAGCTTCAAAAGAAGGAAATGTGGAAGCTGAATGAGAGGGAATGATAGAGATTTGACAAAAGGTGATACTGAAACTGAAAGAGAACGAATAATAGATTCGACAAAAGGAGACACGGAAGCTGAAGAAGAGGTAATAGTGAAGCTGCTACAGAAGGAGATATTGAAGCTGAAAGAGAAGGAATGACAAAGCTTCTACACAGGGAGATACTGAAGCTAAAAGAAAGGGAATGATGGAGTCTTGACAGAATGATATACGGAAGCTGAAAGAATGGGAATGATGAAGCTTCAAAAGGAAATGCAGAAGCTGAAAGAAGGAATGATGGAGATTTGACAGGAGACATGGAAGCTGAAGGAGAGGGAATGATGTAGCTTCTACAGAAGGTGATACTGAAGCTGAAAAGGAATGATGGAGATTGGACAGAATGGGATGAGGAAGCTGAAAGAGAGGGTGATGATGGCAGAATCTACAGCAAAAGCTAATTGGGGAAGGATCCTGTCAAGCTAAACTTTAGAGATAAGGATCCTGCAGCCAAGGAGAATAAGGTGACACTGAAGCAGTGCAGCTCAAAGAGCTCAAGAGAGTCTGCTACGGCATGACATCACTCGCAGAGTTACGGCAGAAAACCGATTCGTTCCCTGAACTGCAGACGCGGCTCTTTAGTGGAGCACACTAATCTTCCGGCCTGCTCGGCTATGCCGTTTGTGGGGTGAATGTCACACTGACACAGAGGGAATGGAGGAGGATTTAAATAAGAGCATTACAATGACATACTGGTAGCGTCGGTCCAATATTCCCTTACCAGTATAATCATTAGGTGAGACTTTCATGTCACCGTAACACATACGCACCAGCGCCACTGGCTGTGGATGAGAGCCAAGGTGAGGCTTTCGGGTCGAGCCTAAAGCCCCCTTGGTACCGGGACATAGAGGGGAGATCCAGGACCTGCAGACCAGCGTGCCATTACTGTGCTGTCACTAGGGGGCAGCGAGAGCTGAATATCAATGACACAGCTGTCTCAGAGCCGGACAGCTGCGTCTCCCTCTCTCTGAATGGAAAAACACATACTGGTCCGGTCCTCAGTGTATCCGCACATACAGTCAGTGGGACACACAAACCACACAGTGAGAAGTCGCAGGATACACTTACACACACTTACACACTTACACACTTATACACACACACACATACACACACACACACACACACACACACGGCTGCATATTCCGAAGCGTAAACAGGCACAGGCAGGCATTCAGCAGCAGCTCACACATAAACGTAAATACATCGCTCTACTCGCCCCGAAACAGTAACACGCACAGAGCACTCAGGCTGGGGGTCTATAAACAGCCCCTTCATCGTAACCTTTTCTCCAGCAGTGTCCGACAATTTTGCTCTCTCTCTCTCTGCACTTGTACCAGAGAAATTTCTAGCAATGTCTCTCAGCACACTGTACCATTTTTTTTATTCTGTCACAGAGTTTTATTTTCTATTCAAGCTCCAGAGGACTCTATGTTTAAGTTTAAAAAAGGAAATCACACACATTTCTCAGTATAAGAGGGGGGGCCTTCTGACATCATTCCCATTTTCCCCACGCTTAATAAATATTACACAAATACATATAGACACTCTATTACAAACAGCCCCCCCCCCATCATTTGTTAAGGTAAAGCATTGACAAACAGGGCCACAGACAGAGAAGAGCACCTGCATTGTGTCTATAATGTCTGTGAGCATTTGAGCAACCCAACCTGCAGGTACAGGCAGGCTGAATTATTCAGGGACTGTAACCTAAGCAGTGGTATAAAAGACCTGGGTGACAGTGACATTCCATATACCTATCCACCTTCCCAAAGCAACCCTCCCGCCACCAATCAGCACTCAGCAGCAGCTTGTTCACCATTATGTATTTAACTATTTAGTAGATGCTTCTATCCAGACTAACATACAGCTGAGAAGGCAGGGTCAACCAGTCCCTGAAGCATTTGTGGGTTAAGAGCCTTGCTCAGGGGCACAACTGTGACATCACCCCATTGGCCAAAGGATCTGAACCGACAACCTGCCAAACAGTAGGCAGAGTGTCCTGACCCACCGAGCCGCCCCCACGGCGGCACACGACATGGCGAAGGCCCAGAATTCACAGGCTCAAATCCTAGAAGTTTTGCCGATGCATTGCTCAGAATTACTAACCTAATATGAAACAATGAAGTGTTACATCCATAAAAAGGTGTAAAACATATGGGTAAAATCAGCTGTTACTAAACAGGATCAGTAATGAAGTTTAACAGCTTATCAGCAACTCTACATCATGCAGAAAAACCAAACAGAATGAGAACTCAAGTATTAACATCCCCAGATTTCTATAAAATAGCCAGGTATTGAATTCTTGCACAAAACTATAGAGAAAATCTGACTTTCTTATCACACTCTAATAAAAAGAGGAAGAATGATCAGCGCTGAGGTCTGATTAATCATTTAATGGGTTTCTGAAAGAGCCTGATGCACAGTTGCATTGTATCTGTGTCACCTGCATCGGTCGGCTGTGCCAGCCTGAGCAAGAGCCATAAACCAAACCAGCCTGAGACCAGTCTAACTGACCCTTTGCTAGGCCACGGGAGTGTAAGTCTAGCATTCAAAGCACAGGGTTTTGATCTGCAGCTTTTCACACTGTGCGAGGCAGAATCAAAATGCCTTAAAGAGGATGGGAAGATGTCTGCGTGGTCTCCACGCCTCCTCCTTCTATGCAGGCTGTTTTGTTCTCGCTACATTCATCCCAAAAAAATCCCACCTCAGGAATCCAGTCACGTCACATTTAAACCATCCTGTTTCTTCCCTATGGGCAGCCCCCTGAACAATAAGGGGCGTGTGTACACCCTGAACACAGCAAACGTGCTCAGCACATTTTCTGAATGCCGGCACAGGCAGTCATATGTTAATCACCCTCCTATCATCCCTGACAATGTATTCATGAGACGCGAGTATAATATTCATCGACTACTATTCCCAGATGAATCTGTCTCTGGTCCAGCACAGCTGCCGTTGCCGCTTGTCAATCTCTTCTCAGTTACGTAACTCTGGAACCGGTCTGGAAGAAAGCGCTTCACCCAGAGCCAATGGAGCCATTATTGTCACATTGGTTACTGTTAGCTATTTCTTGTTTAAACAAGGGTCTTTAAAAGTGCTGGGGAGTGATTGGATGTATTTGCAAGCTGCTGTTTATCGTTCGTAGGGATTTACTATCTCCACATGTCCTCGAGGAGAAACCCCTGGCTGCTCCTTCCAGTTCTTGGAGGGATGAAGCTGTGAAAATGATTTGACTCACACCTTTGCAGTGTCTGCTGGACCAGTTTCGAAACCGAGAGAGAGAAGAAGAGCCGCCCCAAGAATCACGGAAAGGGCCGAACAGCACCTGAACGCTCTACTGTGGGATGGCTGGACATTGCATCACAGGTTCTGGGGCTCGTATCGCGGTCTCTGTGTGGCACGCTGCTGTTTGGGGGAAGCCGTTTCCGAGACATGAAGGAAGCCATTCATAAAAAAAGAGATAAACACCTCCTGGGTGAGGGTGGCACACTTTGCTGGTCGCGGAGGTGTGAAATTCACCCCCGGAAACAACAGTCTCTCTCTAATCACGCTGAGTGGCTGCTTTTCACCGGGCTGGAAAGCGGAGAATGCTGTGAGAACCTTGGGCTGTAACCAGACTGTGCCATCACCCAAAAGTTCACGCGAAGGGGCTAAGTTCTCACACCATAATATCACAACACAGAAACGCCTCATGGATCCGTCAGATTAAACCTGAGAAGCCCAGGCTAATGCAGCATAGGGGACAGGGGAACTAAACTGGCAGCTTTGTTGACATGTAGGGGCTTATCACTGGAAACTCATGTGATATGATCCCCCCCCCCCTTCAGATGGAAGGATTCCCATGTGGACAGGCGAACACACCGAATGAACCCCGCCCCGCAGAGACTGCTGAACATTGGAGAACATTGTCCTACGCAGCATCTCCTCAGCACTACCTGAGAGGGAGCGACGGATGGACAGAACGAGGACAAGAGGAAAAAGGAGAAGACTATCAAAGCCCGAATGGCCTCTGATTACTTGTTACAATGTAAACACTTAAACTAGCAGTCATCTGGTAACTGAAATCAAAGAATGAAACTAAAAGTGAGCAGTGAGACCTTTAATAATGAAACTTAAAGTGAATGTTCCACTGTGCTTGAATGTGTTTATCAATATGGTCCACTGGGCATGCAATTCATTTGGTGTGACAGGATATATAAGTATATACATATTACTACTGGGTCTGTGTGCCTTTAGTGCACATTTGACATGTGTGTGTTTGTGTTTGTGTGTGTTTGTGTTTGTGTGTGTTTGTGTATGTGCGTGTGTTGACTCACCTGTGGGCGGATCACTTTCTCAATGTTCTTTAGTGCCGTGTCGGGGGAGGGGGGCGAGCAGTCTGGAGTCGGCCCTGCAGAGCCGTTCCCATGGTTACGCAGATCAGGTTCTGTGATGGTCACATGGGGGGAGTCGTCTGGAACGGATCAGACAGACACACAGAGGGGTAAGTGACATCGAGAGAGTGTGAGCCGGCCGTACTGTCGCCATTATCGTGATTCTCTGCCAGCTGTGCATTTACGTATCCCGGAAGAGACTTTATTCATCAGACCAGCAAAGTCACAAGACCTTAACCACGGTGGGGGGAGCTGCCCCACCCTGCCCCATTCAGACACTGAAAGTCTGGGACTTCGAAATTCAGTCTTCAGCATAACTTCATCACACTTTGACTGCGCAAACTTTGAACTTTGATTAATTTTGGTCTCTGGTCACCTGACTTCCACACCTGCCATAGCCATGCATTTTCTTAACCAGACTGGCGTTACTCCAGCATATGACTGGTGTTCATATTTCTGTTGATACACCCTCACACATGCAACCGTGCACTTCCATTCGCTGCGATTACACATCGCCATGGCAACCAAGCAGGTAACAGTGGAGTGTACCTCAGGCTTGTGAGTCACACTCCTACACACAGTTGATTCTGTATGTGTGTGTGTGTGTGTGTGTGTGTATCTGCTGTCTTTTTTCTGCCAAAGTAGTATCTTATCAAACTGTAACAAGAATACTTCTATACAAAAAATGCATGCACACATACTGTATACACACACACACACGCACATACGCACGCACACACACACACACACGGACACACAGACCTGTACTCATATATTTATGGGGACTCTCCATTCATTTCTATGGGCATAATCCTCATCCTAACCATGACAACCTTAACCCCTACGCAGTCCTAACCATAGTAAGCAAACAAAATACAAGACTTTTGGCATTTTTAGTTTTTTGATTGCAGTCACAGATTTTTTATAAAATTGAGGTTATCCTTGTGGGGACCAATAAAATGTACCTACAAGGTAAAAAGTTATAGGTTTTTATCACATTGTGAGGAAGTCCGATCCTTACAATGTAATAACTACAAAAACACGTGAGGGCACACACACGCACACGCACACGCACACGCGCACACGCACACGCGCACACACACACCTGCGTAAGGGCCACTCCAGGGCTCAGAATGTGGCCCCGTGGCTGTCGTCTTGGTGCCTCTGAGAAATAGCTGGTGAACAGCTTCTCGAACCGGAGTGCATTTCAAAAGCGTGTGATTCATTACCCAAGGAAGGCAGAGGGGGAAGAAGAGATGAGAGTGGAGGTGGACTGAACGTAATTTACACAGCCCATTAGACAGTAAAACACTCCTTATCAATCAGCTGCTGCTGCACTTCGCAGCAGCGACAAACAGCCTCCTAGCTGGCAAACCCTGTCTCCACATCCGGCATCGCACACATCAAACAGCGACATTCCAGGAGCCAGGTGCCTTTAGGTCACATGACACGAGTGGCACACAGGAAATGGAGGAGAGACACTAACTGGGGCACAACTCTAATCTGCTGTCAGATTTTTTTCCATTTAAGCTCCGATTTGTATTTTATTTGCATTCCATTTGCATTAGTGGTGCTCAGATAGTGTGACAGATAGATGTCAGGGAGCTTTTTGACGCCTCCTGCTTGTCCAGCTTTCGGCTCCTCCTGCTCCTCGCCGTGTCCCGTTTCGCTCCTGTTCCCACCGTCTCCTCGTCAATGGGCAACAGGTGAGGACGGCATCTGTGTCAGTGCGTGTCTCTCTGCCTCGCGGGCAGAAAGATGAATAGAAAAATGTTTAATTGAAAGTGTTGAACTCTGGGGAAATCATTTGAGAGCGAGACTTCATTAAGCGATCTGGCTGAAGAACCCACGGATATCCGCCACGGCGTGGAGCTCCTTCCCGCGCTCCTTCCCGCGCTCCTGACACGCTCCTACTCCTGCGCCTCTTTGTTTTGTTATTCTCTCAGATTTTCTTGGTCTGCTGGTCCACTCTTGTGGTGCTCAGTTGTACAGACTGAAAGCGTGATGCCATCTGTGTAGATATTTACTAAGAAGACGCTGATGAGTACACAGGACTCATGAGGGTACTTAATGGCTGCCTACGTCACATTCACTTTGACTGGGAATCCCCCCCCCCCCAAAAAAAAAACGCGGTATGACATGAGATCTCTTTCCCCTTTGCCCCTTAGGTCCATGTGTATATATTTAAATTTACATGTACATTTTACACATTTAGCAGGTGCAAAGTGACGTTCAAATAAGGCAAATAGAACACTGCACAAAGCACACTGGCTGGACTCGTCTCCTGATTGCTGTCGTCTTATACTGTTGGGAGTTGGTCATCAGACCGAAGTCAATAGCAAAGAGACCTTGTCTGAAGCTGGGGGGGGGGCAGAGGCTAGGACAGAGGTCTTTTCTTGAGCAAAGACAGGGAGACGAACACAGCTGCACTCATGCCCCTGGAGGAGAGGGTCGGAGACCCCTGCTGAGTGAAACATCCCACTTGTAGGCTCATCCTGGCATGAAAGGTAGAGATACACAGAGGACCTGAATGCTGCAGCTTCGCTGGCAAAAGGAGAATAAAAATGCATTTGTTTTCAGGCAAAGCAAAGTCCAGTTAATGAATATAAAGGGCTCTGGCATGGCATTATTTAGTGTGGTTCCCATGGACACTGATTCATAGGAACTCAAAGGGTCGGTTTGAGAGAGACCCTTAAAGCATCTTCCTGCGCTGCTCTTATGCTGCAGCACAGGATTCATACAATCAGTGACAATGGAAAGGAAAACACTAGAGGACGGCGAGTCCTGCCATGGCAACCGCTGTTCCCGCTCACTGCGCCACTCACCCGAATCAATTTCAGCGCTTGAGCACTCGGGCCTCGGCTGATGCGCCGCCACACGTTTGGGGTTCATTCTCCGGCGTTACGGGGTCAGGTGAAGCTCATTGCTGACTATAACCGGCCGTGAGTGTTGAGCGACTCTGAGCGACTCTGCCGACTGCGGCTCTGGCTTCCGCCGCGGGAGAAGCTCCGCTCCACGCTGATTTGCATTCGGGATGGAGACGGAAGCATCTGGCTCTGATTACGAGACTCCTCTTTGCAGGAGGTAAATCTGGACGCAGTCTGCAGTAATAAAAGCTCCCTTGTGATAATGATCAAATGTGCCACAGTAGTGCTCAGATCCAATGAAGCGTGTCCCACACATTGCAAAGCCTAAAATTGTTCCATTTCTTTCAGGGTGTACCCCAGCCTTGCCACTCCCCCCCATCCCACGATCCAAAGCAGGATATGTAACTGGAACATGGATGGATAGATGGATGGATTCATTGATTCATCTTCAATACCAGCTTGCCCTATATACTGTAGGGGTGTGGGGGTCTGGGGGTCTGGAACCTATTCCGGAAGCTAAGGGTGCAAGGCAGGGAATAACCCAGGATGGGGCGCAAACCCATCGCAGGGCACATAAATGAATGGATAAATATTATCATCCCATTTACACAGACATTTTATTTACTGATTCCATTTTATTGACAGCATAATATCTGACTGGACATAAGCAATGTTACACTTTAGCTGGACCTGTGAAAGATGGCAGCCATGTTGCCAATATGACAGTAAGCTTCAGAAAAGAGGACAAGATCATCCATGCTGGTTAGCTTATCACTGCTCACAGGCCACCATGACAATGCAGTGGGCACTGCTCACAGGCCACCATGACAATGCAGTGGGCACTGCTCACAGGCCACCATGACAATGCAGTGGGCACTGGGCACAGGCAGCCATGACAATGCAGTGGGCACTGGGCACAGGCAGCCATGACGGCCAAAGGGGCTGCTCTGAATTTTGGTAAAAACACTGCAAGGTTCTCGCTTTGACCGAGACACGGAGGCAGCGGTGGTATGAAAATAATGGCATGGAAATTCTCCCGCTGTCAGCCTGTACATCCTGTACCTCGTTCAGAAATGGATACTGAGGAGAGCGTGCCGAGCAAGGCTTTTACCGGGGGGGGGGGGGGGGGGGGGGGGCGTCGCAGTGCGCTCAGTAGTTTCGGCTCATACTTAGTTTCCCTATAAAAACGGTCCAGACCTTTGGCGACTGCGGCGGCCTCGTCAACTGGACCCATCTAATGCCGATTAATTACCTTGTATCGTTTACTCTCCATTGGCATCGTCCCCCACAGGCCCATAAAGCTGATTAGAGCTAATGGGCATTTTGAGGATACAGCCTGTTAGCATCCGACCGCCTCCTGGTATTCGTTACTGTTAATGTTGTGGTCGTGGGGTAACTTTGCACACAGTTTATGTTTATGCTATAGCAGAATATTTACTACAGTGATTCTGGCTCCAGGGCGGTGGTCTTCCTCCAGGGCAGTGGTCTTCCTCCAGGGCAGTTGTCACCAACTGGGACCGACTGCACTCCGCATCGGAACCGAAATCCATTCGGATGTGGACTGTGCAATCCAGAGCCTGCGTTCCAGAAAGCAGACTCTGTACCTCCGCACCCCTGCCCACTCTGCAAATTTCTTCAGATGCAGCAGACCATGGTTGTGCATCGCTGATGGAATTTGGCTCTCATGGAGCCAAATAGATGGGACCCCCCCCTTCCCTGCTCCACGGCATGGCTCCAGTTTCTGAGTGCTGAAATTTTTTGCCCACATTTCCATTGACAAAACATTGGTGTCAGGCAGATACCTTCACCGCCCCCCCCACTCCAGAAATGTGAACCAGGAACAAATGTGAACCAGGAACAAATGTGAACCAGGAACAAATGTGAACCAGGAACAAATGTGAACCAGGAACAAATGTTCACAATGCATGACTTTGGCTTGTGGCTCCTCAGATCTGCTCTGAGGACAATGGCTACTATGTGAGCTTGATGGTCCAGATGATGCTTCTGATGCTGAAAACACTGCTGTTTTGCATTCGGGATGCAGACAGAAGCATCTGGCCCTGATTGCAAAGCAGCTCTTTGCAGGAGGTAAACCTGGATGCATTCTGCAGTAATAAAAGCTCCCTTGTGATAGTGATCAAATGTGCCACAGTAGTGCTCAGATCCAACGAAGCGTGTCCCACGTAACGTGGGGAGTTCAGCACTGGCTATTTCTTAAACCATTAACCCCATTTATTTTATGAAAAATCAATTACTGACATATATTTCATGAGGAGAGATTATATGTATATTGTTAACACACAAGTTTCAGCCAAGCAAGCACATGTAGTTCAAGATTCAGGATGAGAGGACGGTTATATGAGCCCTTCAGCCCTGGTTGGATGTTACAGCAGAGAAAAAAATTCACCCAGCATGCTTCTGTGATATCAGATTTGATTCGCACCCTTTGCACACAGCCCTGGATAGACTGGCCATCAGCACTCATACACACCGTCCAGGCCAACCTCTAAAAGCCCATTTGAGGCCTAAAGGATTTCACACCAGTTGCCTCCTCTTAATATAAGGAAGTGCTTCAGGAGAGCAGAGGCTGAGAAAGGTGCACTCCAAGAGTGGGTGAGCCAGACAGAGCCGGACAGAGGACAAAAACCCACCGACAGAAAGGCTTCCTGACAATACCTGTCATTATCATATGGGACCCGCGATTTGGCTGCACTCTTTGTGGCTGACCGCGGAACACTGAAGAGGCTGGGGGGGGAGCCACCGCTGAGAATTGTGGGTAGCGAGCACTGATGACACTGCCACCTGCGGCTCCGAGCTTGGAATGAAGCAGAAGCAGCGTCACTCGTGACTGGCCGCCATGCCCTTGGGCCGGCGAATCACGTCAGCCGTTAATCCCCGTTAACACGGCTCATTATGGAAGGCTATGCTTCTGCCTGTCCATACTGTGAGCAGGCTGCGTGTACATGTACTAAATTTACATTTACATCATATTCATTTGGCAGATGCTTTTACCCAAAGCGACATACATTTCTTTCAGGAAGGAGGGTCAGACAGTCCCTGGGGAACCTGGGGGTTAAACGGCCTAATAATGACATCACTTTGCTTACCCAGAGATTTGAACATGCGACCTTCCGATCACAGACACAACATTCCAGCCTGCTGTATAAACTGCATATAAGTGTCTGCATGTATGTGTAGGAATTAATAGCTATGTGATTAATAATTATGTGGCCAAGCAGCCCCCACGACTGACAGACAGCCACACACCGTGGAGGAAACTCCAAACGCAGCAGTCCATCCAAGCCTCACCTCCCTCCTCCCCTTCACCTTCCCTCACTTCCCGCAGGGGATGGGAGCATGAAGCTGTGGTATTCAAGTGCCTCCCCCCCAGGACAGAGCGAGTTGAGAATTAGAACCCGGCACAAGACAAGGAGGAAGAGAACAAAAAGAGAGGAAGAGAGGACAGGTCCCTGAGAGAAGTGGCCTAAGACAAGTGTCCAGAAGAGTCTAAAGAAACATCCACTGCACCCCCATCCACACACAACCTGCCCTGGACCAGCATCGTTAGAGCTCACTACCCACAATGCTCAGCGGCGGCTCCACCAGGTAACTTAAACTCATACAGGAGGGGGGGGGGGCTGCAAAAATCTTAACGAGTGAAGATTAAAGATAAAAGAGAATAAAAAGGATAATACATCCCTGAAACCGATATAAATGTGGATTTTAAGTGAGCCCTTTGATTTCACATTCAGAGCAGGAAACTGGGCAAAGCTGCTCCAACAGCAGAACTGTACAGTAAGTAAGACACTCGACCAAGCTAACAAATAAATACAGCACTTCAATCTGCAGCTGTACAGATCTTCCATCTCCTGCTAAGGTGGTAACCTTGGTAACCTCAGCTGTGCTACATCAACCATAAAGGTGGCACAGGTGTGGCGGTTACCATGACAGCGATTCAGGCAGGACAAGAAAGAAATGGTCGTCAAGGCGACCCCGGATCGCCATGGACCTCACCTTCCTCAGAGCAGCCGGTCAGACGGCCAATGTCCAATGAGCAGGGTTTGCGCGTGACGGCCTTGGTGACAAATTCGAATGGGTTGTCCTCGTCCTCTGGCAGGAAGACGTCGAGTGACGGCGAGGGGATGATGTCAGCAGGCTGCTTGGAGTCCTGGTACTGTAATGAGAGATGGGGGGTGGAAAATTAGAGTCAGCATCACAACATTACAAGAACGTTTAAAATAAAACAGTGATGTCTTTGTAAATGATAGAAATGACACTCATTCATCTCCCAAACACTTATCCTGGTCAGGGTCACAGGGCACACTTCACATTTTTAATAAAATAAGAAACACATTTTTGTGATGTACCATAAAATGAAAATATTCTAAACAAAGTATGGAGGTTCCAAGTCACCAGACAGCTATATGAAAGTGAATGTGCTGAACTCACAATAGGTTTATAAACACTGCAGTTCTGTCATAATGCCCCCATTCATAAACCAAAACGCCCACTACACCCCATCTGCCCCGACCTACAAGCAGGCAAAGGACCAGGGAACAGGCAGGTAGGGGGTGCTGCTACACTGTTACTCACTCTGCAGAAGTGCCAGCCCTCCTGCCAAAAAGCAGGGAGGTCATACCGACACTACAGCCATACAGAAATCCCACACAAAGCTTTGGAGAAACCGGGAACTTTTCTCTGCAGGGAATTAGATGGTCAACACAGAGATGAAACCAGAGCTACTGCTATTGCCCCTATTACACTCAGATGGAAGATAAGGGTCTAGCACAGTTAATTCGCATCAATAAACTCTTTAGCAGCGTTAATTAGTCAGATGACACGGCTGGAGTGGATTCTGGATTCCCGAAGTATGTGTGTGTGGTGACCGTAGTGTTTGACCACAGGCCCCAGCAGACAGGAAGCCATAATGGTCGGCCATCGGAGGCGGGGCGTGAAGCTCCTGCTGGCACAGAAGGAAGAGCGAGAGCACACGGCTGCGGCGTGGAGGACAACTTGGCCTGCTCCTTCACCCACTCCACCACTCATACCTCCAGCACTCCTGCCAATCTGCAAGTCCATCCATCTGCTGTTCTCTCTCTCTCTCATTTATCTTTCTCCCTATCCTGCTCTAGCTTTCCTGCATGCCTTCTTTCTCACTCACCATCACTGCC